TGGGACAGCTGCCGCTGGGGTTACTGCCCTCCGACGTGCATAAAGACGGAACATCGGGTTTCCTAGTTTGGTTCACCTTCCAGATGGCAGTGTGGGATCGAGGAACGGCATTATAAGCAGTAAGTCTTATGTTCATCTCTGTGGTCAGAGCTATGGCTTCTGTTTACTGGGTTTAAATCTGCCATCCCCTTTCTTTTCTGCTTTCCAACCTAAAATTTGTTTTCTTGTGTGAGAGAAATAGAAACTATTTTTTTTGTGCAGTGCATCCTGGTTAGAAAGATACAAAGATGATGAGGGGACTGGAGCATCTTTTTATGATGAAAGGCTGAGGGATTTGGGTCTTTTCAGTCTAGAGAAAAGAAGACTGAGGGGGGATCTTATTAATGCCTATAAATAATTAAAGGGAGGGTGCCAGGGGGATGGGAACAGTCTTTTTTCAGTGGTGCCCAGTGACAGGACAAGAGGTAGTGGGCACAAACTTGAACATAAAGAGTTCCATCTAAACATGAGGAGGAACTTCTTTACTTTGAGGGTGGCACAGCACTGGAAGGTGGTGGAGTCTCCCACTCTGGAGACATTCAAAACCCACTTGGTCGCTGTCCTGTGCAACCTGTTGTAGGTGACGCTGCTCTGGCGGGGGGGTTGGACTAGATGATCTCCAGAGGTCCTTTCCAACACTGCCCATTCTGTGAAGATGATGGCAATACTTGAAACCGAGGAAACAATTTAAACTATTTAGTCTTGACAGTGCTGTGAGCCCTTGTGTTCTTTGTTTATGGTCATTACTTTTTAAATAAGATCAAGTTTATTTTATACTTTAGGTATATGAAGAAGGGGATTATCGAAGAGTTAGATTTGTTGGACGACAAAAGGAGGTAACTCATTCTACTTTTACTCAAGGGAGAGGGGGTGATTTGTGTTGTTTTTTTTTTATACCTGATACTGATGCCCTCAACTTCATTATTATAAAAAACAAACAAAAATTAAAAACAAACTAACCAAACGCAAAAGCCGCAATGAGAACCAACCAACAACAACAAAAAAAAAACCCTACCAAAATGAAACTGTTTTGGATTTTGGGTTTCAGTGTTGGTTTTTTTCACTACGGTGAAATATCATCTTTTAAGACACCTTATAGTAGCTTCTGTGTACCTCCCTGCTTTGAGCAAATTTGGAAAATTCAAGAGTTGCCTACACCTGTTAAGTGCTTACATTTAGGCTGTGGAAGTTGTAGGCATTTGAGCATCTCAAACTTGGACCAGTTTTTATTTTAAACATGTGCTTTAAGAAAACTTGAAGCAGGTTTTTAGTGCCATTTGTGTTCAGAAAAATCACATAATTAAATACTCTGCTGAATTGGGGGAAATATATCTGTTTAAATGCGTGTTCTGAACCTTAATTTGCTTCTGCGTAGTTAAAATCTTGATTTTTACCAAAACTAAATTTTTAATGAGGCCACTTCATTTCCAGAACCTGGGAGGCATTTGCTGAAGCAGTGATGTAACAGAAAAACCTAAAATTTAGAGTATTCTGAAATAATGAAGCCTCAAAGGCAAAGTCTAGTAAGACCGGCATCAGCCAGATGTGCTACTGTGAAGTTATCTTGTGGGCCTGTTGCTGCTGCTTGTCAATGGAGTGGGTAGGTGAAATTGTAAGTCCTTTAGCACCAGGTTCTCTCTTAATGATCAAGCCTCACAGCTCCCTGAGGGATCTGCTGGCCTTTGGGAGAGAAGCAGAGATTGTTTCAGCTAAATTGTATTCCTCAGTGCGTGAGCATCTGGTTAGTGCCTTACTGTTAATGCTATAAATGTATATGTATAGTTGAGGCATTAAATATAAGGTGTGGCAGATTTTTAATGTCGTTGCATATAACTGTTGCCTTGCTAAACTGACCTGAACTAATTATGCTGATTTCTGAGTTTTCCTATTGAATTTATCTTGTTATATCATGGATAGAATTTAACTTATGCTGTATAGCAAAAATAGGGATTCTACATGGGGAAATAGTTAAATGAAAATGTCACTTAAAACGCTGATGTAGTTTACTTCTGGTAGGGTAGTGGCGAAGTAGGTCTCTCCCAAATGCAATGCGTGTTTCTGTGCTACTTCTGTAACTGTAGGAAACACTCTTTGAGCCTAATTCTCTATAGGCCACAGGTTCCTTTGATGTGCCTTTGCCAGCAGCTGATTTTGGACACGCTTTCTCTGTGGTGAGGAACACCCAGGGTTTTCAATTTGGCTCAGTTCCTCCCTCTCCAGCAAAAGCCAAGCTTTAAGTCTGCTGAGCGAGGTTTAATGCTAGGTTTTAATTGTGAAGTTGAAACAAAATTTACGTGTTAAATACTGAAAAGATCCTCGTCTGTGCTTGTTAATGGGATCTCTCTCTAGGGGCTTTGCCATTACCCTGTAGATCCCCCCAGTGTGTTTCAGCCGCTAGTATTAGCATTTCACAGCCGTGTCTGTAGCCCAAATGTTGTCTTGTTTCTGAAGCTGAAGGTGGTGACTGTACTTTCTCAGTTGGTTCTTCTCTTCACCTTCATTATGCTCCGGGTGGTCGAGCCTGGTTTGTGGTCAGCCCAGTCCAGCCTCGGCAGCTTTCTTGTCTGGGGACGCAGCCTCTGGACGCAGGTGCCCTCAGTGAGGACATCTGGGCACACGCCTGGGTGCTGCACGTGGCCTCTCCAGGAGGTGGCCAGGCATGGGGGCGCAGCCCAGAGTGTCTGGGTATTGTCCCCTCAGTTCTGCCAGCCCGATTGTTAATGAAATCCATGCATTTTAGCTAAAAATCATTGATCTCTGCACTGAATGTGCAGAACTGGGAGATTAGTCCTTTCTCGCAAGGGCCTAAAGCAAGTAGCTGTGAGGAAACTGAGCATGGCAGCTGTTCAGTTGCATCTGCTGTGGTCCGACTAGGGTCATCCTGCCCTTGCGCAGTCCCTAAGGTACCACAGGGCCTTTTTTGACGCCACTGTTGCCACTTTGGCTCTACCATTTCTGTTGGGCTGGTGCAGCAGCTGAAGCTGCGAGGGAAACTTACCTCACAGCTGGTCTGGTTTATAACCTCCCGTCTTCCTTCTGGATCTTTGGACCTGGGTCTATTCCAAGTTTGGTTTTCTCTCTCAGCCTCACAGACCGTGTACTGGCAGAGGCAAGTGGGTGAAAAGAAGCAGCAATGGAATTGTCAAACTGGTGCTACGGCCAGGAAAAAAAAAATTGCTCATTGAATTATGCATTGAGTAAGGAGCATTTGGGTGTGCCATCTTTGGGTGCGCGTATTTGCCGTGGTTTAACCCCAGCTGGCAACTAGGACCATGCAGCCGCTCGCTCACTCTCCCCACGGCAGGATGGAGGAGAGAAGCAGAAGGACAAAACTGAGAAAACTCGTGGGTTGGGATAAAGACAGTTTAATAAATAAAACAAAAGCTGCACATACAAGCAAATTGGCAAAACAAGGAATTCATTCACTGCTCCTCATGGGCAGGCAGGTGTTCAGCCATCTTCAGGAAAGCAGGGCTCCGTCACGCGTAATGGTTACTTGGGAAGACAAACGCCATAGCTCCAAATGCGCCACACCCCCCCCCTTCTTCTTCCACCAGCGTTATATACTGAGCATGACGTTGTATGGCATGAAATATCCCTTCGGTCAGTTGGGGTCAGCTGTCCCAGCGGTGTCTTCTTCCAACTTTTTGTGCACTCCCAGCCTACTCGCTGGCAGGGTGGTGTGAGGAGCAGAAAAGGCCTTGACTGCTCTAGCAACAACCAAAACCATCCGTGTTTTACCAACATCCCAAATCCAAAACACAGCACTGTACCAGCTGCTAATAAGAAAGTCAAGTCTATCCCATCCAAAACCATTTTATATTCCTGCGTGTGTAACATCGCCTTTGAAAAGGCTGTCCTCTCCTGCAGTGTGTTTACCTGAGGGGTAGGGGTGGTTGTCCGCTCAGTGCTGGCTCGGAGCAGGTTGGCAGCGGCTGGCGTGGATGAGGGAGGGAAGCGCTGTGCTGGGTGCTGTGGGAGGCAGAGGCGCGAGTTGCTGTGACGCCGGCTTGTCCAGGGGTTGGTATGTTTGCCAGGCCACGTAGACATGCTCTAGGAAAAAGCCCTACTTGTCAGTGATAGGTGTATTCAGGAAGTTTATATAAGATGGATTTACGGAGTGGCATAGTGATGTTTAGAGTTTTTTCTTTTTTCTAATGCCTTTCCAACTGTTATGTACCACGTTCATGTTATCCTGAGGTTCTTGTGCAGTGATAGAACAAGGTGCATGGTGAGAGGCTCTAAATTACCAGCAGTTGTTTTATCTCACTCCTGACCTTACTTGTCCCACCATTATTTCTGAGTTTATCAGCAGTGAGTCTTTTGCAATTTTTATCATGTAGTCGCTAAAGTACAATACAGAGGTAGTGTCAGTTAAGTATCCTCTGTTCTTGGCTGCTTGTTCCTGCTCACCTCTCCGCTGAATCTGCATAGGTCACGTTGTAAACCTGAGTACTGATGTGTCCTGAGTATCATGGGAAGGAGATTACTTTTGCAGAGTTTAACAGGCTTAGTTCACCAATCTGGCTTATAGCACACCCTAAGAGTTGGTGGAAGAGATGGGAGGAAACCCATGTAGGAACTTCTCGAGATGGCCATGGTGGAACTGCCTGGGGAGGTGGTGAAAACCAATTGCTTTCTGGCTGAGTGGGGAAGGTATCTGAAAGTGTCTTTTTTTTTCTCTTACAGGTGAACAAGAATTTTGCAATTGATTTGATAGCAGAGCAGCCTGTGAGTGAAGTTGAAAGCAGAGTGATATCATGCGATGGTGGTGGTGGAGCTTTGGGACATCCTAAAGTATACATAAACTTGGTAATGTCTTAGTTCTGTGTATAGCATGTTTTGCCTGTAAATTCTTGTTTGTAAGATTATCTACTTTTTGGCATGTTAGTTTAACAAAGTAAAAGGAGTAACCACCTGAGATGCTGATTTTATTTGGTGCCTAATATAAAATCAAGATTTCTACTCGGAAGAGTTAGGGGGCTTCTGTTTGAAGTTACAGAAATTTCTTTTTGAAATTTTGATTTGTTTGCTAGGACAGTAATTTATTTTTTTTTAAAAAGAAATTAGCTGAAGTAATATATACAAGCAGTGCCTTGAGAGCAAAAAAAAACATGCTTGCTGTGTTTTGAGACACTTACTCTAATTATTTAAATGCCACCATGTAGATTGAGAATACATTTGCAATATTCTTACGAATATGCAGTTTATTTTGAATCTTGTAACCAAAACAAACTCCTCTTTCAATCTTTGGGAAACTTGGTAGGTCTGAAGATTGAACGTTTCAATAATGGTCAGAGAATCAGTGAAGACTAAATGTCTTATTATCCTCCTATTGACAGTAGTGATAGTTTCCAGTGTATTCTTATTCTGGAGAGTAAAAATATTTGGGCTACTGTCATACGACCTCAGTGGAATCAATGATGACCAGTTGCTTAGATACTGTTCTCAGGCAGAGCCTGACTGCAGATGTCTTAAAATTTTTGCTTGCTCACCTAAATTTTGACATTTGCTTAATACCCAAAAGAATGGTGAGGGAGAGCTGGTGTCCTTTAGTGTCAGTGTTGTGACTCCTAACTTTAGTCGACAGCGTTTCTATTTTGAACAAAGTAAGAACTTTTGTAATGATTCATTTCAAATTATTCAAAGGCAAATGCTCAAAGGTTCTAATGCATAACATTTAGGGAGGTTCTGTTCTTGTGTCTTAAGTTAACTTCTGTAGCGCACTGCTGATCGTTTGCATTTATGTTAATTTGTTTGACCTGCACCACACTCTTCTTGAAGAATGCTTTATTTTTTGTGAATTTTGATCTTTTTGCATTAACAATCAAGTTGCAAGATGTCTGTGGTTTAGTTCTTGAAAGCTAATGTCTGCAAACATAGAGAATGGTATTAGACCAGCTTGTTTCCCCTAGCCCTAGCAATTGAAATTCAGGCTTTCAGAGGTGGAGGGTAGTCTGGATTTTCCACTTCTAATCCTGTATTAAGGAAGGGGAACCATGAGTTTCCTTTGTTTCATGACTGCAAGTAGTTATGTTGCTAAATAACAGAAGGTCCCTGTTTATGAAATTGTCTTGTGTTTTGTCATGTTAGGAAGGATTGCAACAACAATTGCAACAATGGGCAAAATTCCTGTCTAGATATAATGTGGAAATGCCAAATCCTATTCTGTATTAAAAAAATTCTGAAATTATATTTTCAGAACATTGGAACAGATATGACCAAATTGACTTTAGATGTCCAGTTCAGTAAGAGGATCCTTTATTGCTGAAGAGGTATCACTTGGCTTTAAAATTATATTGTTGAGATTAGGCCTGGTAGTTAAAAGACTGGCAGAAGGGAAGCTGAATAGGATACAGAAATCAAGCGTGGACCTCATACCATTGCTCTTACTTTCAGTGTTTCAAATAAGATTAAACTCTGTACTTTACTTGTATTGATCCATTTTAAGATGGCACACATAAGTAAGAGAAAATTTGTAATTTCAAAAAGTTTTATAAAGTGAAACTAGCAGCTGTTGTACTTTTATATTTTTACAGGACAAAGAGACAAAGACCGGAACATGTGGCTACTGTGGACTTCAGTTTAAACAGAAACATCACTGAAAGTTTGTTCCTGCCTGCTTGCAGATTTCTGTTCAGATGTTAATGTTTAACAAGAAATAAACACTGTATTTAGAAACCCAAGATTAGCACTTGTGTTTATCTTAACTATGGGAAGTCCAGTCTGTACCTTTTTAAAATCTAGCTTGTCAGGTATTTGAGAGCTGAATGGTATTACAATATCTACTTCGTACTTAATTTGGTTTTCATGGAACAAATGTCCTGCCTGGTTTGGCAGACTTCTCATAGGCTTGTAAGCAGTCCTTGGCTGCAGCATAGGTTTGGTTTGTAGTGAATCATAGAATGGTTTAGGTTGGAAGCGACCTTGAAGATCATCGAGTTCCAACCCCCCTGCCATGGGCAGGGACACCTCCCACT